ATAAAAGCGAACATATTCCGTCGGCAGGTTTCAGGATTTTAAGTTAATTTAGGAGTAATCACAGCGCTGTGTCATCTGCGATGTGTCTGTCTCATGGCCAGCACGCAGGTTTGATTAATTTGTAATAAATACATGAATAAAGCACAGTCATACTCAGTTTTGGGCCCGCTGTATTTTTAAAATACGCAGTAGAGCTATTTAAAGGTAGTAGAGGACATGTACCTGTATATAAAAAATGCGCCCTATAGTCCGGTGTGCCTTATGTGTGTGTTAAATACAGAAATGGGACACATAACTGAGACTGCGCCTTTTAGTACGGTGCGCCTTATGGTCGTGAAAATACGGTATATTGAAGTAGATGGCCTTTGATGTTACATTATAATCAGGTCATTCTGAAAAGGTCACATTTGGACTGATCCTTACTGTGATCGCAGCTCTTTTTTATGATGTATCAATAGAATATGAACTTTCTAATCCTCAAACAAAGAGGCAGCATGTTTTTTTCAGAGATTTGTGTATTTCCATCCTGAAGGATGTTCATCTGGCTGGCGGCATGCATTGTCAGCTCTGTACCATCTAGTCTCTACTTCCCTCAGGGACTTCATTAAGCCAGAACCTGTACAGCTGAGGCCCACATTGTCCCTCTAGATCATTTCCTACTCCTGCTGCCAAACATCTATCTTTGTCTTTCACTTTCTATCCTACATATCTTTCTACTGTGCAAACCTGCTATTTCCTTCCCATTACACGACAGTCTAGTCACAAAAGAAATGTAAACATTTCTTACCAAAAAACAATGTAGCATTTTTTAGTATTTATACATACAGCATAAATCAGTGCAGAACTGTCAATGTTAAAAGCCATACTGTCAATTACTGCTACATCTATTAATTCTTATAAAATGTAATCAAAGTGTTTTTGTAATTTATACTTTTACTTGCAAATTCCTGTTTCTCTGTTTTATTAAATATAACATGACACAAAGCTTCTTAACCAAACTTTTCAGCTGTAATTATAACAGAAATAATTAAAATAACAAAATTCTGCTGGTATTCAAACAACCAAAACTCTTTGGTTACAAGGATCTATTATTCATCCATAAACCTACTGGTTATTTAGGTTTTTTATGTCCTCAATGTTTGGTGTTAAGATGAGAGTAAACCTTTTGACAAAAAGCAGTCTGGTTTATTGTGAGTTCGAGGTTTAATATGAAACAAAGGATAAATATGTCTAAAATCCACGGATGGATGGGAGATCTGTCAGGTTGTGGGTCAGATTCCCTTTCACGGTCTCTTGGATTCTTGTTAGCTTTATGGCACCATGTTGGCTTTCACATCACAGGACATTTGACGTAAAAATCTGAAAAAAGAAAACTTTGGCAATCGTGTTTCATTCAGTCATGTAATGATCCAAGAAAAATGGCTACTTAAACAATTATTAAGCATAGATCCTGAATAAACAAAAACCTGGTGGCCTAAACCAAGTCTGGAATTTGGAATTATAGTGGACAGAAGAAGGGGTGGAACCACAGCCATAATAAGAGCCTGTTTCCCACCAAACATTGACTTATTGTTGTTGTGAGGATGCTGGGATAATTTGTAAACAATGGCGGCGTTGATCCAATTAGCCTCTGCTGTCTTTCTTTTACCAGCCTACATGTCCTACATGTCCTTCCTGTCCTCCTCTCTCCGTAACATGGATATTTTTAGAGCTTCTCTTTATTGTCATATTTCCTTGCAGCTCTAGCACCACAACCGGGTTTCAAATAACTAACAATTAATAATTATCTCTGGATAACTTCATAGTAAAATGAGCTTCTCTTGCTCTCATTTTGCTGTCGCTGCTATGAAAGAGTCTCTCCTTTGTGGGCTGCAGTGCTAATTGAAGACAGAGTGAAATATTTAGTGACAGTTTTGAACAGATGAAAGATACGAGGGAAAGCCTGTAGAGTCAGAAGTGTCCTCTTCTTTTGTTGTTGTTTTTCTTGATTGAGAGTGCCCAATGAGAGTCTGCACACACACGCGCTCACACCAGTCTTGTTTCATTGCTTTTCCAGGATGGGAAAATATCCTCTGTCAGGACAGGAATAGAATGCAATATAAATAAAGCCGGAGGGAGTCGATAGATGGGAGAGGAGAGACCCGGCCAAAGCAGTGTTGGTGGGAGGGACGAAGCGAGACGGGTGAGGGAGGGAGAGAGGAAGGAAGGTGTGGAGGAGGTGGGATGGGGGTTGTTTCATGCCGCGCAAGAGCTGTGCAACTTCTTGGCAGCATTTCAGAAATGAGCCTCAGAAGCTTGGCGAGCCGAGCAGACATATTGAGACAAGGATGGTCGCTGCGTTGCCTGAAACCTAGCTGTGTTCAGGATGGTTGGGAGGCACCTCTCTACAGGTATTTGGTTGCTGTGTCTCCTCTTTTTTTTCCTGTCTGTGTTTTCTGCTTCTCTCTGTCTATTCTTTGTTTTTTTTTTCGGCAGCTTGTATCTACATAGTCTGGATGAGGACTTTTTAACCATTGCAGATGCAACAACAGTGCAATTTGAGTGCTCAGTTTTGAGATCATTGCGTTTATCATTGCGAGCGAGATGCGTGCCTTCGAAGCAGTAGAGGAGCTGCAGACAGTAGATCAGAGGCTTTTTGGCTCTCATTCAGCACTGAGAAAATGGCGGTCCTGCACTTTTACAGCAGAGAGACACCACAGAACGACAGCGCTGTGTGTCAGAAACACAGTGCCCTCTTTTCCCCCCCTCCTTCCTTGCTCTCTCTCTACATCCTTTCTCCTTTCTATGTAGTGACGACTGATGTGGTAAGCTTGAAAACAGGAGGTGTCACACAAATATTGTCACATCCCCCATCCAGTTGTGACATAGTTACTGTATTTGTATGCAAACTGTGTGCTTGTGAAGGGGGAATGTAAACAAGAACCGATATAGCATGAGGATTGGATCAAAATAATGAAGCAAGGCTGCGTTAGCTTCATCATCACATCTCTGATGTTCCAAAATAAAGCTAGAAGTTTTCCAGATGGGTGGCAGCAGAGAAAAAGACAGGTTTCCCCAGTGATGTTGTAGCGAGGGTGTAAAGAAGTGGTGCGTCAGGATAAGTAAAGGTCATGGCTTTGCAGTTTGGAGTTAATAAGCCAAAGATGAGCAAGCTCTAAGAACTCGTCTTTGAATAAATCTGACTTGGAACTAGGATATGAGAGCTCTTCTGTGGGGATGTAGGTGGTGCTTTACCTTGTTAAGATGGAATAATTTGAATGATTAGGTTTAAAGCTCTTGAAGGACTACTTCTATTGAATCTTATCATGCTAGAATCATTTTCTCAATTTAGAAGGAAATCGTTTATATATATATATATATATATATATCTGTAAATATGGATTTATGTTGGTACTGTATTGTCATTTCAAGTTCAAATGTTTAATTTAGAAGTCCTGTTCTGATTGGTGTAGAATTTTTGCCCAAATACACAACTTTGACACTTTTCACAATTGATTTGGAAAACTTTTTATATTTATTTCTGTGCCCTGCTTAGAGACTCGTAGATCCATTTACTGTTTATGATATGTACCGGATCTTTGAAAGATAACACCCACAGCATCACAGATCTTCCCCCATACTTATTATTACTTCCTATATTCCTCCTTTTATGGCTGCATCATTATTTTGCTAATCATTTAATCTGTTGATTTAAATGTTTGTATTAATTGATTTTATGATCAGGTGCTTTATGGGAGATTTATTTTTTTTACAGAATCACTTGAAGCTAAAACTGTGCCACTTCAGGAGATTGGGCGGTGTAGTTTAGTGACAAGGATTTAAATCTTTAGTGCAACATTTATGCTTTGGTACAGTTTTGGCTTAAAGATTCATCTGACCGGTTACTTTAAGCAAATAGCATGTATTGGAGACGATTTTCTCCACTTAACAACTAAGCAATTGCTGAAGTTATTGATTATGTCAATACTCAATTTATTGTGATTAATCCAATTAATTGTTTGGGCCCCAATGCACGAAGTGGGGTATTGGTGGCTCCCAAGATGCAATGCTTTGTTGTGCTCTCAAAATGTGAGCTTCGAGAAGATGTATGTTTAGCTCCCTTCCCATGTAAAATGTCAATTATGGATCGATTAAAAAGATTCAGTGACATACATCTTAAAAGAAATTGCTGGGTATTGAAATAATTGTGCCAGTGTTGAATTGCAGAAAAAGGATTTTCTCAACTTCTTCTTCACTACAAAGTTGTTTTTTGCAAATAAAACCAAAACCTACACTCGTGCTTGATAGTATACTTACTCTTCCATTAATGAAAATTATAAATTAACACTAGTAAGTGAAATAACACAAAGCCGAAAAATATTGAAAAAAAATATTGATTTCAAAATTTTGTTTAAACCTTGCTCATGAACAGTGAATAGTTTTATTTATATATATATAAATTCAGAAGCAATGTCATGATTTCCATTTTTCTATTATTTTTCTATTATTATTCTATTGTTTATTTTACTGGCAGCTGATTTTATTTTCTGCCTTTAATGGAAGAGTATGTGAACTTTAAGCACAAATGTATATCAAGATGTATTTCTTAATTTCAATTGAAACATAATTTTTAAATTGATATAAACAAAAAAGAAAGCCTCAAGGTCTGCCAATAACACAACTCACTGTGTGACATTTTAGAAATATTTACATTGGAGAAACATACCACATAGAACTACATAAAACCCAAAACGTAAGACAACACCGTATTTATATATTGAAATAACTTAACTGTGTTTAAAAGTCATATTACAGTTGATGAATAAAACTGAATTGTGATATTTACCGATATCAAATTATTGTCCATCTCTATACCAAATGCAGTTAAAGACAAATGCCATTTAGAAGTAAACAGCTTAGATGCTTAAATGGTATTCTGTACATATTGTGAAATCATGTCTCTCTACCTTCTTCACTCATTGTTTTTTTTTTTCTCTCTCTCTCTCTCTCTCCATGTATAGTACTGCCCCCGCATAGTGGCCAATTAACGCAGTATGATAACCCCTGCTGGGGTAACCTGCCAGCCAACAGAAGTGCCACAAGTGCTGCATCTTCCACCAGTTCCAGTGGCTGGGATCCACTAATTATTGACCAGAAGGACTCAGCGGCTTGGCCTTCTATTACCCTCAGTCAGAGCCAGGCTTCTCCAGTAGGATGCCCTTTGGACACTGACCCTGGTCACCTGACCACCAGCAGCAGTAGTTCAAGCAGTAGTTGTAGTGCAGTGAGTATGGCCACAGGAGCCAATAGTCAGACAGGCCACTTCCCTGCCAACCACCTTAACAGTAAAGCCAACAGTGGTCCTAGCCCTGTCAATCATACTGGAACCAGCATGCTCTCAAGCCAGGTTTCAACCAATCGCAGTTGGGGATCTGGCCCAGGACCTTCACATTACTCCCCTCAGTCCTCAGTGGGTAATGAAGGAAAGTGTGACAGCCCAGTGGGAGGAGGTGGCAGCAGGGGCTGGGGTTCCTCTTCGTCATCCTCCACCAACAATTTTAACTTGAACCTAAACCCTAATGCCAACCCATCAGCATGGCCCATGTTGGGGCATGATGGAGGAGGTACAGGGGCAGGCAGCTCAGGTGGAGCCAACGCCATTTCATCTCCTCAACCTACACCTAATCTCTGTAACCCTCCTGGCCCCCCACCAACCCAAACCAGTGCCTGTTCTGGAGTCAACAATAACAGCAAGTCTTCGGGGATTGGCAGTGCATGGGGTACCATAACGACTTCTGAGGAGTCGCACCTCACTCCTTCCACGAATGTGTCTTTCAGTTCTGAACCTCAAAACCTTAAAACTGATGGACCAAATCAGACTAAAAAACATGAACCTCCGAGCCCGATCCAAAACTTGTCTGGTTGGGGCAACTCCTCTGTTGGCATGGGTTCTATGGGGCAGTCTCAGCTGGCGGGTTCACAGGTCAACGGGGAAGATGGCAACTCTTTGTGGGGTAACAGTGGCAATACAAAGCCAACTTCATCAAAGGAAGTACCTGGCTGGGACTCTGCTTTGGTCAATGTGGGGGGTGGTGCCCGAAACTCTGGAGGCTGGGGCGAACAGTCCAGTGGAGACTGGGGGAAACAGCACAGTGAAGAGGCGCAGGGAGGCTGGGATGCTCCCAGCTCTCCTCCCCAGGACTCACAAGCCAATACTTGGAACAGAGCTGCGAGCACAGCTGGTGCCAGTGAAGGAAGCAGTGACAGCACGGAGGGATTTCCCCGACGAAGGGATGGCCCAACAAGGGAGAAAGTGGTTCCTTTGCTCCCTGCCCAGGATCTGGACCCCAGAGTGCTCTGCAACACCGGTTGGGGACAGACCCCTGTACGCCAGCACACAACATGGGACATGGATGACTCGAAACGCAAGAACGATGCTGGCGCTGAATCATGGGGCTCTGGTCCTGCTGCTTCAACCGATGTCCAGGGACCCTCAAACACTAACAAGGCCCCCACTCAGAGGTCTGATTCTGGGAATAAAAATGATGTGCCTAGTTCACAGGGACCTTCTGGTTGGGGTGGCAGCATGGCAGCTTCACATACACCCAGCTCTGGTTGGGGAGACCCACCCACCACCGTAAAACACCCAACAGGGCCTAGTGGATGGGGTAACCCTCCAACAGGAGGCCCTACCAACAGCATACCCAAGAGCGGTACTAAGTCTTGGGGGGAGGAGAAATCATCTGGATGGGATGATTCACACAGCAAGTCAGCAACCCAGGGCTGGGGTGAGCAACCCAAAACATCAAACTCCTGGGGCAGCAGTGGAGGAAGCAATAACTCTGGGGACTGGGGAGAACCTGAGGAGAGTAAAAAGTGTTCATCTGGACCCGACTGGGCAGGAGAGTCAGGAAACTGGAAGGAAAACAAAAGAGAATGGGGAATTTCTACTTCCGGACATGGAGGTTCTGCAGCTGGAAGCAGTGGAGGCTGGGGAGATTCTGCACCACAGCGCCCATGCGGACCCCCTCAAGGCTGGATGGGCAAGCCCCAGGATGGGCCAAATAGTACTAGTGGAGGGGGGGCTATGGGCTCTTGGGGTGGTCAGGGCTCTGTGAAGCCGGGTGCCAGCTTGGGTGGTGCTAAGAAAGAAGCGTCAAATGAGCCGACAGGCTGGGAAGAGCCCTCTCCACCTTCAATCCGTCGCAAAATGGAGATAGATGACGGGACCTCGGCCTGGGGCGACCCCGGTGCTTACAATAAGGCCGTCAACCTGTGGGATAGGAACAACCCGGGGATGGTCCAAGCTAAAGTTACAACAGCAGGCAATAACCCTCCAAATTCTGGCAACAACCATACTCATGCTCACAATCACTCCTATCACGGGCCACCTGCACCTCTACAGAACCATAGCCCAAACACTCCAAACCCAGGCCCTAGCAGTGGGCCAATGGAACCTGCAGTACAACACCAATCTGGGATGCCTCACATCAGGGGTCCTCTCATAGCTCAAGGTAAGATAGCGATAATATTTTACAATTTCCTACAGTGAAACTTAGCTAGACTCACCAGCGCTAACTTATTCTGACATATTTCTCTGCTTAGATGTCTTGTCTCTTTTGTTATTCGACATGCCAAACATGAAAGCGGTTTAGGTAGTCAGCACTGTGCACCCTTAAGCTCCAATCTGTTGATCCACTTAAGGTAAAATCTTGACCTAGATTGCTCTGCTAGGATTTACTCCTGATCAGAGAGGCACTGGTGGCTCTTGCGGTTAAACCTGCTCTTCATGATTAAAAACATAATTTTATCAATAGCCGGTCGAATCCAAGAAGAGTTTACAATATGCAACGTGAAAATTTATTGGAACTGTTTGTATGGAAGCTGCAGTCTGTCAATAAGTTGAGTAGAAGGAGGTGACACAGGCTCCCAAGACGCCAACTAAGGGCAGATGCTCCCTGCTGTTTCCCATTAGAACCTACCAGCTGTTACTGCTGGTAAATATACCTCATATCAGACACTTTTATTTGTTTCCTAACATAAGAATTTATTAAAAACAAAGAACAATTCTTATGTTCATAACAGAATGTCAGGATAGAATAAGACCATGTATTTCTGTAGGTCTGTGTAGCTTTCTGGCAAAACATAGCAGAAGGTTGAATGTTAACTATAATTTAGGAGCAGCTTTTAGAACCTGACCTTTCCCTAGCGGGAGAGCTAAGTTGGGCCTGGCATTGCTGCAGGTATAGCAGCAGAGCCATGCTACTCATGCCAAAACTCACTGGGACGAGCCAGATCCTAAACGGGCCCTGCCTACTTCTGTCCACAGTTCTGCTCAGCCCAGCCGTCTTCTACCTCCCTGCAGGCCTGTTTGGCACCACTCTTACCAAAAGATACGTGTCTGACAGCCTTAAGCAGACACTCCTGTTGCTTTTAATAAATAATAAGGATGCGAAAAATATATAACTCGTGTAATTTCCATGAATCTTAAAAAAGCTTATAAAGGAATTTTAAAGGTTTGATTGAGATTCTGACATTGAGTTTAGCATCACATAAATGGAGAATGGTAGCCCAATGTCTCAATGCAAGGACTCCAGAAATCTACAGAAAATCTTTCATTATTTACACTATGAGAGTTCTAAGAAGCATGTAATCTGTCAACATGTTTGGCGACTTTTGTTGAGTTTCCCGTTGATGAGCTCCTGTCCTTGTGTGACCTCCAGGTTGGGGAGAGCTTTCCAGCTCACACACAAAATCTGAGAGCTCTTGGGGAGAGCCTGTGCCCTCTCCAGTCAGCGTGGATAATGGCACATCTGCTTGGGGCAAACCCACTGGGAGCCCAGGGGGCTGGGGAGACGGCAACCCAGACAATTACAGCAGGAGCAACCCAGCAATGACGGCAGCACCTGGAAAACCTGGTAAAAAACAAAAAAAACAAATCTGCATACCTGATCCTGCTTAATATTACTGAAGAGTAATCTTCTTCACTGCTGATATGTTGCAAGAAAATCAAGAGTTGTTCCTGTGGTTAGTCAAGGACATCAGTATGATGCAAGGGCAGCCTACTTATAAAGCTACAGTGACCCCATGTGGCTGATTATGTCAAATGATCATGTTGCTATCAATAGTAAAGTTAAATTTTACTAATTTACAATTTCGTTTTCTACAAACAATCCCATATTTGAATCCAATTTGATTTCATGTTTGTGTTTTATAATCTAAAGTTGGAATTTGAATTTTCTGTTGCTTGCTTTCCAGCCTCCAAACCTATGCAAGATGGATGGGGAGGAGGAGGTGAAGAGCTCAGCCTTTCAGGGGGTCAGTGGGATTCTGAGGAGGGAGACATGTGGAACAGCACAGCCTCCCAGGAGAGCAACTCTTCCTGTAACTCCTGGGGAAATTCCTCCAAAAAAGTCCCACCAAAAGTACGAAGCTGTTAATTACAAGATTGTAACATGTTCGCACATATATGCATGGTTTTTCCTTTAGAAATCATTTTAGTTTTTACCATTTTGTTAATACATTGTGCAAAGTTTGTTATGCTCCTTTATGATATCTTTATTTCTTAGTGTTTATATTTTTTTGTTTATTTTTAACTTCAGGTGAAGATACCAGGGAAACAGGAAGATGCCTGGATCATGAAACAGCTCATCAAACAGCTCACAGACATGGGCTTTCCTGTAAGTTAAATTGATTAATCATTAAGAATTTAGCAAATCAAACTTTTATAAGGTGTAACGTCAGGCCTCTTCTACACAATCATTGGTTGTTCAAATTATTTAACTTTTGGCAAAACGGTTGCAATTGAAAAATCTCAGCTGATGAGAGTATAGCCGTTAGTCCTATTCCTTAAAACCTGTGAAAATCAAAGTAAACTTTTCAGCCTGAAGCAGAAAACTTGCAACAACTAAACCATATCTTTCAACCTAGATAGTAGTGGAAGAATATGAAAGACTCCTTTGCTTCTTTTTTTATTATAGAACAGGTTTTTAAGTTATTTATGATACATGTGGTCAGGATTTGTGTTGGTCTCACACATGAAATTCTAATAAACAAGAACAGGGTTAATGATGTAGTATGGCAACATAGAAAAAGGCAAAGGAGTGTGAGGACATCAAGAAAACGCTGCAAGAAAAACCCTCATCACTCATTCATTACATGTTTTTTATACTCGTGCTCTAAAGGTTCATTAAAACACTTCTTTTAAATGTTTAGTGGATGAAGGTGGTTGATATGCTGCACTTGTTTGTGTCTCAGCTGCAGTACTGATTGTTTTTTGTTTGTTTATTTTTTTCAGAGGGATCCAGCAGAGGAGGCTTTGCGGAGCAACAATATGAACTTGGATCAGGCTATGAGTTCCCTGCTGGAGAAGAAGACAGAGATCGACAAGCGCGGGATGGCGATTGGCAGCCATGACTACAACAACGGGCTCATCAACAAGCCCATGAGCTGCCCCCGTCCTCCGCTTCTTTCCAAAGACCCCTCAGCAGATCCTCGCCTGCCCTTCATTGATAAGGTGATAACCTTTAATATGTGTGTTAATAGGCAGGAATTATCGTGTGAGGATCTTAAGGATTAAACCTGACAGGATTGTTGGATTTTATTGTTTCCCTAAAGATGCAGAGTGGAATGTTTGGTGGAGGTGGAGCAGCACAAGCCCGGGCCATGCAGCAACCGCAGCCGCCTCCTCAGCCACCAGTGCCGTCTCTCAGCTCCTCTCAGCCTAGTCTACGTGCTCAAGTGCCTCAGTTTCTCTCCCCTCAGGTACAGTCACACCTGGAGAAACATTTACATCTATATGTGCCCTGATTCATGCTTCGCTACATCAGCTACACTCGCTCATTCAACTGAACATGAAAGGTTCTGCAGAGGAAATGATGGAAGTTGGGATTGTTGCCTTTTTAGCATCATTAAAGCTGAAGTCTGTAAGTTTTTAAAAATCACTTTTTTGTCATATTGGCTAAAACTGTCCCTATGCCCAGACAGCAGTACATGTGCCTGTATATAGGCACTGCCTGTATTTCAATCTGGAAAGAATAATTCGGGAGTGTCAATCACAGCTCACACACGCTGAATCCCCCCCCCCCCTTCTGGTCGCATGCGGTAGCCGCGCAGATGCTGTGAGAGGGGTGGAGCTTGGAGGTGGGGCATGAGTGAAGCAGAGAGGGTGGGGGAGTGGAGTGAAACCTGTTTTTCTACAAATTTTCAGTCGAAGTTTGCTCTCTTCTCAATGTTACAGACTGCAGCTTTAATAAGGTTTTTATTGGTGTCTATGCATTGAACATGTAAACTTAAAAAACTTCTCAATTTCATAAAGGTCTTGTCTGTCTAATGTTCCTCGACAGGTTCAAGCACAGCTCTTACAGTTTGCAGCAAAAAACATTGGTCTGAATCCTGCACTTTTAACCTCACCAATAAACCCTCAACACATGACCCTTCTGAACCAACTTTACCAGCTGCAACTGGTGAGTGTATTAACGTTTAATCGCATCACGCTTAAAGGCTCTCCTATGTGCCATTTCATCTGTTATGAGGTTAAGATGATCAGACCTTTTTGTGTTCCCTCCACAGGCATACCAGCGTTTACAGATTCAACAGCAAATGTTGCAGGCACAGCGTAATGTTTCTGGCCCCATTCGGCAACAAGAGCAGCAAGTAAGATTTTCTGCAAAGAAGTGTCCTTTTTTGGGGTCCTAAAATCATAGAAATATATTCATTTGACAGGATATTTTCCACTATTCTTATGTTGACAGTTTCATATTTTAGATGCTAACTGTTTCCGTCTTATCACAGGTTACACGTACAATCAATAACATGCAGCAGCAGATCCAGCAGCACCAACGTCAGCTGGCCCAGGCTCTGCTCATGAAGCAGCAGCAACAGCAGCCCTCCCACTCAGGCCTGCATCCTGGTGGGGCCAAAACTCCTCTGGATTCCTACTCTGGTCACCCCCAGACTCCACTCCTCTCTGACCTGCAGACCAAAGAGCCGCAGTCATCTCCCAGCCCCTACAGCCCCTATGCTCTTTGTGAGTGTTTAAAAACCTAATTCTGGGATTCTGACAGAGAAAAGGTTTTACAGCAGCTTTTTTTTTTTTTTTTCCATGTGCCTTCAGCTGGACTGAATCCAAATATGAATCACAACTGTATGGATGTGGGTGGTCTTCCTCTGAAGGACCCACCTTTACCGCAGTCCCGGCTGTCACAGTGGACACATCCAAACTCCATCGAAAGTCTCTCTGGAAATTCTTCTCCTCTTGAGCCCAACCTGGGAAAACATGGTAAGAGAAAATATTAGTGTGCATTTATTTTGACATCAGTGAAGCACTTCAAAATAAAAGCTTTCAACTGGAGCCAGATTTTTAAACAGAAATCTGTTTAAACTCAATGATTTTTTAAAAATGCTTCCTGTATTAGTTATATGTTGTTCTTCAAAGTTACAGGAAAGTATCAGAGCTTAGATTTGGCATATAGATTAATCTGAGAGGACTTTTTGAAATACCAACAATGACATCTGCTAGCCTTGATCTTATTGCGGTTATAAAATATTCTTAATTATCCAGTTACTAATCACAGATTATATGAATGTTATTTTTTTCCTTTAATTATAGGCATTTATTTGTACTTCCTGTTTTTTTTAGTAAAAGTTGGACTGTAAGGAAGAAAATTAAAAGGCAGGAACGAAAATAGAAATAATTCATATTTACTTTGTTAATTCAGGAAAACTTTGTGGCTGATGTTTTTCATAGTACTTAATTCTACATTATAATTTAAACGTAAAAATAACTTTAAAGCAGCATAGTGTACATTAAGGGTGTGCAAAATAATCGTCAAATCGATGAATCGTGATTCTAATTTTTGTGATCTACTGAATCGATTCTTGAAGGCAAGAATCGATTATTTAAAAAAAAAAAATGAACAAATAAAATACATTAATGGTTGGCGCACATCAATCAAACCAAGTGGAATACAACTTCCAGTCCAGCAGATGTCGCTGCGGATGTGTTGACGCCTGCTGCTTTGTGTCATAAGCATGTCCGGACTGATTATCCTCATTTTGTTATTTTAAGTTTGATGAATCCTAAGATCTTTTTGTTGGTGTGTCCATGCCAGTAATAGTAATATTTCTGTCCAGTATTTGTTTTCATTGCAACACCTCCTAAAGTAATTTCAATAAATACAGCTATGTATGAATTCAGTTGCTTTCAGTTATGTATCAATTGAAGACACTATCCAGATCACACCCAGCCAGTCAGCCACTGGTAAGGGCTGTATCTTTTTCTTACAGTGTTCAGTGAAAATATCACAATGCATCGCAATATTTCAAGTATCGTGATGCATCGTGATAGAATCGCATCGTGGCATGTGAATCGTGATTCGAATCGAATCGTGACTTCTTTGCCAATACCCACCCCTAGTGTACATTACAGATCTTTTGCAGAAGTTTGCCACCCTCTGGCGTCAAGTTGTTATGACATCAGTGCTGTGTACAGGCATGGGGGAGGAAAAAGGAAAAGCTTTTGTTTAGAGGTATAATGTAATCTGAGGTAATAAAGTTACAAATATTGGGGTTATTTTGAACAGAGCATCTAAACCTTTCTAGCAAGAAGAGGTTCCTCCTTGATAAAAGTTTCCCCAATATTTACTCGCCTTATTCTGTCCCCAGTCAGACTCCTCTTCCATCCCTTTTGTTGCACTAAACAGAAGTTTTATTTTCCTAAAATAAGTTGAGTGTGTAGAATGAGACAGAGCAGCAGCTGACATCCAGGCGCACGCTATAAGGATCTGATCCGGCTGAACTAATCGAGCCTATAGAGGCGACTGCAGTAAACGGTGCCCTTATAGTGCCTGGCATTTTACATGGCAGGCACTATAAGGGCTTGTATTAAAAAAAAAAACTTTTAGACTTGTGCAATGCACCTTTACGTATTAGGAAATGGATTATTTGAATTAAACCAACATATCTCTAAATCTAGCTGATTTTATTTTAGGGTCTTATAGCATAAGTAAAGTTCTAACTTTAAAATGTTTTCATAAAAACACTACAATTCTAAAAAAATGTATATTTTTAATTATATTAGTTCATATACATTTTAAACTTAGTCCATTAGAGAATTTGAGTAAAAACCAGATATAAAGATGGTTACTTATTATAAAGCTAAAAACAAGTTGTTTCTGTTATATTTCAAATTGTAATATTCTAGCTTCATATTATCATGTATTTCCCAGGCGCCAACCTCGGCCCACCTGGAAAGCCCCCTCAGATGGACGACTCGTACAATCCCTACAATCTAATATCCAGTTCAGAGTCTCCCAGCAGCCCCCTGGTTCCTCCAGAGAGCTGGGGTCCGGGCAAGAACAGCAGCGATAAGATGGCCAATGGGACCAATATCAACTGGCCTCCAGGTGGGAAACAGCTGGAGGAAGTCCTGCTGTTTTATATTCCTAACCAGTTTGGCAGCTTTCTTTGTTAATAGACTCAAACGGTCAGCACAAATGTTCTTTTTTAGCTATTTCTGTGTTTCTTTTGGTTTAGAGTTTTGTCCTGGTGTACCTTGGAAAGGTCTGCAGAATATCGACCCGGAGACAGACCCCAATGTAACTCCAGGCAGCGTCCCCAGTGGACCTACTATCAACACCAACATCCAAGATGTCAACCGTTACCTCCTCCGGGACAGGAGTGGAAGTAAGACTTGAGAACCAACTGCTTACAATATTTGAAATGAAAGGGAAAAAAAAAAAAAACTTTTTGGGTATATATATTCAAAGATAGTAAAACGTTATAAATGGCAGCTTCCATCAGAAAATCCTGCTTCTTCTTTCCGTGTTCTTCATTTTCCTACCTTTAATTTCTGCTATATCCATCGTCACCTGCAAGCTGACGCTTTTCTGAGTGAAAATTTTTTCTGTATGTTTTTTTCTTTATACCATTTTCTCTCTTTGCTACGTTTTCTTTGTGTTTGTCTTTCTGTTTGTGTTGCTGGCATCGCTTTAGGCTCCTCTCCCACCTCATCTCAGAGCGAGGCTCTGCCTCCGTCCACCGATTGGCCAGTCAGTGCCTACACTAGCTCTTTCAGTCTTTCCTCCTCGGAGATGGACGACGCAGGTACATTGTTTATCCAAAACCTCTTTTCCTGTCACATTGCAGTAACTGAATCCCTGCAGACAGGCTTCACTCTGATCTTTTTCACATTTTGCCACCTTACAACCACCACATTAGTTTGCATTTGCACAGGAAGCTGCTGGAGGAAGCGGCTTTGGAGCCAGCAGCTGAACCAAGTCCAACGGCAAATCTGATACGACTTTAAATTAATGTTCAAATGTGCTTAAAATTAGCTTAAGCTTGAACACTTTTAGGCTCAAAGCTGTTGGGAACAGTTTTACAGTATCTCTGTTATTGGAGTAAAATAAAGTTTTCTACATTAATGCATTCAGTGCTTAGATTTTATTTTAAAAAATAAGCAAACTTTGCATAATTCACCTTATCTTTTCATAATGATGCATTACTTTGTCAGCACACTGTAAAGTGACATGTGAAAAAGTTAAGAGGGTCCTATTACGTCATTGTCACATATAGACCTCCACCCACATCATTCATATCACCTCTCTACATGGCCTCCTTCTTTTCTTGAATTTTATTCAGAGCAAATTTCCTGTCGAGTGTCCATCTAAATGTGTTTGTTCTCTGAAACAGTGAGGATTTTACAGTGTTGATTCTCTGTGTTTAAAAAGTCAGCGACTGACTGAGCAAACAGTAGCAGCTATAGAACAGTTTCTATAGAAGTTTCTCATCAACCTGTCAGTGCAGCATCACTGCCGGTCTGTTATAAACTGTGTTTCTAATCAGAGGAAACGAAAGCGCTCCTATGCAGTTATTTGGCTACGTATTGTCTGAAAAATCATCTAAAATTGTCTTCCTTGTGTCCTACACCCTTCTTTCCTTATTGCTTTCGTCCCTTAATTCTTCACTTTCCTTGAATCTTGTTTTCCTCCTATTTTTCTTTCCTTCCTACCCTGGTGTTGCTTCTTCCATGTGTCCTTCTTTTCATATTTTTTTTTTCTTCTTCCTTTGGTCCTACCTCCCTTTCTCTCTTCTGCACTACATCCTTCCCTTTTATGTGTCCTTTCATTTCTTTACTTCATTCCTTGTCTCATTTCTGTTTCTTCCTGGTCTCCTTTTCTTCCTTCCACCAAGCTGACTTTCTCCTTGTCTTCTCCTTCCTTGCTCCCTTGTATCCTTTACACCTTCTATTTTTTTTTTTCAGATTTTCCAGGTTCATTATTCAAAACCTGCCAGCCTATGAAGTGAAATTATAACAATCTTAAATATTTGAAAAATAACATATAATCAGATATAGGATGTGTGAAAATGTGAGTCTTTGGAGATGAAGATTATTTTTGAGTATATAAAAAAGACATGAAGTAGGTGTAAGAGCTTAGACTACTGGCACCTTTTTCCCACCTATAGATCATGTTCTGTCAAATTCTTTGCCTATTGTCCCCCATTTTTATCCAAGGTAAAGGTAAAATGACAAGATTTCAGGTGAAAAATATAGTCTCCTGATGCCATTTCTTTGACCTGGTATTGCTAGAGGTTTTTCGAAGGTCCAGCACCATGGAGGTATATTTAGTCAGATGTTGTGGTTTCCCTTTAAAGACCGGGATGCAGATTGTCTTCCAGCCATCTGGTTTTGTAAACCAACCACCTCCTTCTTCTTCTCCATCCAGGCAAACTGTCAGAGATGAAATCAACCTGGTCTCCAGGTCCCATCTCTCACAGCCAGGCGTCTCTGTCCCACGAGCTTTGGAAGGTCCCCCAGGGTCCACGGAGCAGCACCACAGCTCCTTCCCGCCCCCCGCCCGGCCTCACTAACACAAAGCCCTCCTCCACCTGGGGCGGGAACTCTCTGGGTTTGGCCCAAGGATGGAGCAGCTCCTACAGCACAGGTAGAGCTACACTACACTGCAGGGTTTTTTTTTTACTAGCAACACTCCTGGAGATGTTCTGTTGTTTTTCTACAGTAACGACGTGCATGATAAGATACACTAGAAGAGTGAGAGATACTTTTATGTGGCTTTAACCACCTCATTTGGTTTGGAGTTCAGTGTGGGCGGGTCTTCAAGGGAGTGGTACTCTTGAAAATAAATGGATGACTTGTGTTTGAACACTTTCAACTGACTTTAGAGCGATTTTATCGACTCCACCCCATTGTTTCACAAGAACCTGAGAAGTTTGATCCTCCCTGTAAGCTTTCTGCTGCTGCCTCTCTCTCCCACAGCAGGTACCACATGGAGTCCTGACAGCTCCACCAGGACCAGTAGCTGGCTGGTTCTCAGGAACCTAACTCCACAGGTAACCGTTTCCTCTCAGGACTTGTCTCTCCTCTTTTCGTTGGAGCATTAGCTCACTAATCATACGGCATGATTTTTTTTTTAAACTGTCCCCAGATTGACGGTTCCACTCTGCGGACACTGTGCATGCAGCACGGCCCCCTCATCACCTTCCACCTCAACCTGACACAGGGAAACGCTGTGGTCCGGTACAGCTCCAAGGATGAAGCCGCCAAAGCTCAGAAGTCCCTGCACATGTATGTTTCCCTGAACTTTACGGTATTAAGAGTTGTTCATTTTAGGGAATTTAACCCTTGATCTTTTGTGTCTTCACCCAGGTGTGTGCTGGGAAACACCACCATTTTAGCAGAGTTTGCCGGGGAAGAGGAGGTGAATCGCTTCTTTGCACAGGGCCAGTCGCTCGGAGGAACGACAAGCTGGCAGGCCACCCCTGGAACCAATCAGACCAGGATGGGCGGAGCCGGATCTGGAGTGGCTCACCCCATTGGTCACTCACCCCACTGGAACAACAATAACAACAGCGGCGGCGGAAATAGCGGCGGGCTCGGAGCAGGCGGGACAAAAACAGGAGGGGAGTTGCTTTGGGGAGGTGTTCAGCAGTATTCCAGCCTGTGGGGACCTCCGAGCGGGGAGGAAGGACGAGTCATGGGGAGCCCCACACCAATCAATACGCTGCTGCCTGGAGACCTGCTGAGTGGAGAATCCATGTAGGAGGAAAACTGACAAAGAGGAGCAAAAAGCCCTGCAAATCAATGTGGAGATAATCAAGTGTGGATGTGAAGAAACAGAGAGACGAGAGGAGGACAACGCTTCATATTCGCTGCTTGGCTTTGTCCACCTCCTCTGCTCTTTTTGTGTTAAAACAACATTTCAGTTGCAGTTTTTTTATGTGACTTTGGAGCCCAGTGTTATCAAAAAGGAAAAAAATGTTTTCTTGAAACAAACGGGGAAGACGCTGGTTTAAACCAACTTGAGTTAAACTGACATGGCAACAAGCTGCCATCTTTAAACTGGCAATCATCATGCACCTCAGAGATCCATGAAGAAAGGCATCATTCCCAAAGTAAAAAAAAAAAACACTCAACCCTTCAATCAGAGTGGTTGTCACACTGTCAGCTGGTCCAGACCCGTCATTTGTTTCTCTCAGCACTAATATTAGCCTTAAACCGTTTCCTGCCCTGCTATCCACGCTCACTCTTGACTCGGTAAAGAAGCTTATGGAGAACTTGCACACCCTTATTTCTGAGCCAGTGAAACCTGAGTGGAAAGTACATGCTGCTGCAGCTCACAACTTCAGTGCATTTTTATTCTTTTGCAGTCGAATCGAGTTCCCCAAACACAACGCTCAAAGGGAATGATGCAACTTTGTTCGCCTTGTTCAAGCCATTTATTTTTGTAGTATTTTTTTATGAGTTGTCTTCTAGAAACCATTGAAAGCAAAGCTTAGAAACAATGTCTGTCAGTTGTATGGTGGGAGGATGTACATATGACGATTATGAACCACTGCTAATACAAAGGAGCTGTTGGAGACAAACACTTTGATGCACCTCAGCCCATCACTGGGCTTTTCATTGTTTTTGTTTTTCTACAGTTTGGTCTCAGACTGTCTCAGCGACATTTTGGGAGAAGTAAAAACCTCAAACGAGTTCCTTCCCCTCCGCCGCACGCCCACTCCACCTGCAAACTCATTATTTCAAGCGACGTGCAATATAAGCCAGAGACTCTACCGTCCAAGCACCGTATGACTGAAAGCAGACTGTAAGGGAAGAGTGAACTGCGAACACTTTATCTGCTCTCGGAAAGAGGAAAAAAAAAACTGCCACTACTACCCTTTATCTCCCCTTACAGAGAGTGTGAACTCAGGAGAGTAGCAAGCTGGTCTTCAACCATTTTCTGTCCAAGACACAAGGACTTCGATAACAAAGCACTTCTTCAGCCAGCCACCTCTCCATAAGACTTGTGTGTGTGATTTTATGTGTGTGTTTGTGTGGGAAGAAGGCAACAAACCAAATTAAGAAGAGCTTGTTTTCTTTCCCCCTCACCCAGAAGACAAGGTCACTTTTTTAAAAGTAAAATGAGGCAAAGACTTGTGAATAGGTGGTCTGTTATAGCACTTAATAATGCCAACGATCAGAAGAAAGGAGAAGCAACACTGGCTAATATAAACTGCAAAAGCAAAAGACTTTAAAGCAATCTGCGCAGTGGCTTCTCTGTGTACTTATTTTTTAAATTGACTTGGATGTGAACTTTGTTGTTTTGTTTTTGTTTTTTTTCCTTCTTGTCAGCGGGACCAGAGGATGTCAAACACGGTAGCAAAGTGAAGGAAAATGCAAAGAAAACTCAAAAGCGCTCATCCTCACCTTCTTTTATCTAAGTAAACATCACTGTTAACATTGCAACTTGGAGAAATTCTTCGCCTTGGTGTCTGGGAATGCTCAGCTGGATGCGGCAGGGAGGATCGCCACCTCGTCTTTCACTTTTTTATGTTTTTTTTGCGTTTGGAGTTTCCTGCCAACTGATGTGATAATGTGGCCACTGAGTGCCTGCCTGCTGCAGAGAGCAGATCTGCAGCAGCTCCTCACCTTTCCCTCCCTGCTGCCATCTTATCCTCTTTCCTACGGATCCCTCCTCCGCCTCCACCTTCACTCTTGGAGGAGCTTAGAAATTACTACTACTGCTACGTCAGAGCCTGTCCTCAGCAAGCACCACTTCCACTGTCTGTCTTTCTCCTGCAAACATCACTTTAGTCAGAGATCAAGTCAATCGATGAGGGTTTTTTGTAGGGGGGGGTTGCTATGATGCGTTTATTTTATTGCCTGTGTATGCTGAAGTTATTTGACGACAGTTTCTGATAGGCATGGGTTGGTAGGAGACGCTTGAGGTGCGAAAAATACCTTAGTTTTAAATATCAAGGTTTGATTGAAAATGTGTGGAAAGAAAATTTATAACATGATCCAAATGCTTTTATTTCAAACAAAAAGCAACAATAAGTCCTAGTGCTTCTGAAACGTTTATATCTTATGGCCATATTTATAATTTAGGGCTACACAATATTAAGAAAACATCAAACATTTTAACTGTTAAATGTGATCAGTTTAAAACGGCTCATAAAACTGTTTCAGTTTTTCCATCTCTGTTAAAATCTAGTTATTAAAACTGATCAGCTGGTGATTATACTTTACTGGGGGGTTAATTTCACTATACTTTAACTCTAAAAACCTACCTCTCTGGGTTAGTGAATGTGTCCATGTTCACTGCAAAAAAAATGTTTTTACCCTTAATTTAATTAGCTAAATAAGATGATCTGCCAATGGAATGAGTGTTTTTTTCCCCTTAAAATAAGATAATTAGATATTATATATTAGATTATATGCACTAGAAACAAGACAATGCAATTGTTTTTTTCTTATTTTAAGTGCAATTTATCTTGTTCCATTGGCAAAGTGTCTTACCTCCTCAATTCAAGAAAAATGCACTTATATAAAGAAAAAAATCACTTATTTAGATTTCCATTTTTTGCACGCCGTCTATCCAGAAGAGAAGAAGGGATGATCAACTTGATTTGGTACGCAGCACTGTCCCAGAAATATGGGCTGCAACACAAAGACTCCTAAAAGTTAAAATACGTCACAAGTTTCACCATTGAAGAAAATTTCCAAGCAGCAAAGCTTTTTATTCGTCTAAGAAAGTGAGAGAAATCATTAGCAACATTCAGCCAGCTGGTGGCGGTGTGCAGCATCAACCAATGGGAGAGGAAAGGCTAAGAAAAAGTCAATCTACTTTCTCTGAAATCAAAAAGGATGTTTTTGTTAGCTTTTAAAACTCTGGTATACCTTGTTACTGGAATCCAGCCCATGCCTAGTTTCTGATTGTTTATGGGGATCATTTCATTTTTTAATACTGGTCTTAATGCAGTGTTCAGCATCCCTCCTGACCCTTCCTGCCGCCTGTGGAGCAGAACCAGCGAGCAGTTTTGAAAGCGTGATCCCACCTGCTCGCAGTCGGCCTGCTCTGGTTGGGCATCACTCACGTCGAACTCTGGGATCGCTCTGTCACTCTTAGAGCCACCTTGACTGACAGTGAGACTCCCATTTCTATGCAAACCACAAAAGGAGGTGTTTGTCCAAAAACCCATCCTCTACATCTGCCAGTCTCCTCTTATCTCACAACTTGTTCTACCAGGCAGCTTCTTCTGAAACCTCACTGGGTTTAAATGTAGAGGACACTGAAAGAGACTCTGCCTCGCTTAGATCGACACTAAACTTTGCGTTGGCCGTCGCTCCTTCAGTTCGGTGCCAACTGGATTGCTGGTGTCTGCTTCCACTTTCTTGCATTTTCTATGTTTGATGAGAGGATCCATGGAGCAGAAGGGCAGGAGAGATGATGATGTCTATGAGGAATAGTGGGCTGGAATATTTTTAGCAGTAGGAGGGTGGAGGGAGGTCCCTGTATGTGTCTGTGCACTGTTTATGGGTCACATCGGGTACATATCTTTAAAAACCAAAAATATGATTTTGTTCTTTTTATCATAAATTTTCACAAAAACGAGAAACAATAAAAAAAACAAAAGAATAGACTGCGCACTAAGAAGCTGAGACACACCTCATGTTTGGTACCAAGTCTTAAAAAACAAAAAAACAAAAAAAACTTTGAACTTTGGGGACTTGCCCTCTTCCAGAGTCGCCTTGGACGAGCATCGTTCAACAAAAAGAACAATCACTTTCTGCCTGTGCTGTTTGTTTGTGAGATTGTTCCTGAAAACCTGCATTAATGAACTCCACACTGGACTTAAATCATGGAGCTGGTGTTGAAGTCGAGGAGGGAGGGGGGAGTCAGAGGGTCACCTCTCAGATGTGGATTTCTCGGCGCAGCACCAGCACTGAGAGCCTCTCCCACTCCCTCACCTGCACTCTTATCTACCTGTAAAGTGTCAGAAATCAGATGCTCTCCCTACCTTTTACTTCTTTTTTTTTTCAAAGGCAACTGGAGCTCGAGTTCAACCTGCTTCATAATCACAGATCAGGCACGAGTCTGAGCAGGGACCCAAGAAATCAAGGACAGGAGGTTGAATATGCACATGCTAGCTCATACCCAGTACACAACCAAGAGTACATAATGGATGTGTGGCTAGACTTGACCTGTTCTCCCCACTTTTACACCCTTTTCTTTATCCCTTCCCATTTATGTTTCCCAGAAAATGAGATCAAAAACATATCAGAGTAATACAGAATAATGAGAACAAATACTTGAATCAAAAAGAAGCGCCAACAATGTATGTAATGTGAACACTTTTTTATCGTTTTTTTGTTTTGTTTTTGTCTGATTCATACACTTCAGAGATTTTTGACAGCTTCTGTTCAGAGTTACTCAAATGTGAACTGTTTAAAAGCAAAGGTGGATTATAAAGGCAAATGTTACATCTTGTTTCAGAGTGTTTGCACAAGGCTGCTTGTACTGTATGAATGAATGTCTGTCAGGTGTAGAAATCGCGTACAGGTGCACCTCGGTACATTTAAAAGGACGCCAGAGCTAAATTATTTCTGTATTTTGAATCAGATTTATTACAGAGTGATTTATTTCAGGCAGTTCTTATAACGATCTCAATTGGATTTAAGTTTAGACTTTGACTAGGCCCCTTCTAGGCTGCCTTTTTGTGCTATTTGGATGCTCTGTTGTTAACTGAAGTCCCTAAAATATCTTTTTACATCTGAAGACTGATATCAGTGACTTTTTTTAAAAGATAGAGTTATGATTTTCTTGCTTTGAGATTTTTCTAGCCTATTGTAAGTCATTATTTATTGAATTTGAACTCAGCTTCCAAAAGGTGATTATAAAAGGTCCTAAATTAAAAGGATCGGTGATCACTCTTTCACATGGGGTCAGGTTGCTTTACTTTTTTTTGTTACTTTGATGTATAAACCCATGGTTATGCTCAGTGTACCTTTGATTGCTGGTAAAACTATTTTGAACTTTAGTAGCAAAAAGGGAGAAACCAAATTTATAAAGGGAGCAAATATGTTTTATAGCTGCTGAAATGATGCAAGAATATTAAACAGAAAGTTTAGTGGAAGGAAGAAGGTGTAAGATACAATTTGGAATAATGATCTTAAAGTCGTAATGACCAAAACTACCAGAAATAATTGCTTAAAAATACATCACTGTATGCAATAAATCTGTTATTTTATTAGATTTTTTTCATAATTTACTGAAATAAAGTTTTGATACTATTCTCCTTTATTGAGATGCACCTGTATGAGAGCTTTTGATTACTGCGGAGGATTTGCTCTGCCTCATGTTTTGTTTCAGTATACCTTTTTTGGGCTTGTCAGATACTATTTTAATGTTGTAACTAGCCTCTAGCGTTGCACTGAGTGTCGGCCTCACCCCTCACCCAGCTACATGAACAACATGAGACAAGTACTGAGGGGGAAACTGGGGGACAATTCATGTGTAAATGTTTACTCAAGGACTAAAAGTATTTGTTTTCTTTTGTTGGTTTTTTTTTTCTTGTATTAAATGTAATGTTTTATCTACCTTAGTGGCTTTCATTGTGGAATAATCCAAGAAAGTATGGATCATAATTGAGTATTGCACCATTTTCAGACTGTAAAGCTTAAAAAAAGAGAAAAAAACTACATATATGTAAAAAAAAAAGAAAAAAATGCAGCAAAAAAAAAAAACAAGTATTTTACAGACCTGTGGCCATAGATTGGGGGTAGAGGGACTTTAACTCTCCCAAATCTGAGCAAACGGAGAGTGAAGAACGAGACATCAGACCGAGCCTTGGCTTCTAGGGCTCACCTCAGAGGTGCCTACCTTTCTGTTATGTTTGTTATTTTTTATTTTAAGTCCTGTCATCAGTTTTTTTTTTTGTTTTTATTTTCCTACAAGGCCACTGACAGTTTACAGTTTTATTTCTTCAGCAAAACAAAGAAGGAATCAAACCGCACGAATGTTGGAAATAGAAAGCAAAAGGACAAATGCTTCCATTAAAAAAAAAAAAAACTAATGAAATCAGACAAATGAAGATTTCCTGTGCTACTTTCAGAACTCTGGGATTGAACAGTGTTGTCTTGTTCTGTTTAACCTTCTTCCTTCTGTGTTAAAAAGTTGATTTCATCAACTTATTTCTTGGTTTTTATGTTGATTATGTATATTTTTTTTCTCCTTTGTAGAAAAAGGAAGAAAAAAAAAAAGGCTCACTATCTTGCACACACACGATTTAAGTGGATCTTGTCTCAGGAAAGCCAGGGTTCCAGAGTACCAACTCCACGCCATTTTAATGTACATTTTTATGTATGATGAGTTATAAAAAAGGAAGAAAAAAAAGACAGAATTTTAAGCACTGAAAGTTATGGATTTCAGAATAAAATACCTTTTTTTTTGTTTCTAAATCCGTAGCAGTTACATAATAACCAAATAATGGACTTTTAAACAAAAATGGAGTGCTTTATAATATAAATCTATATATTAAAATTGCTTTACTTTTAAAAACAAAAAGTGGTCAACAAGTTTGTTTAAAAAAAATGACAAAAAAAATATGAATAACATGCAAATGCTGTATGTTTGAATCTTTGTTGTGTTTTTCTTAATAAGGTCCCGTCCTGACTGAATCAGGAACGTCGTGCATTAATCTTTCTGTCTCTTGTTCTCCCGCTGAGGGTGTTATTAATAGATTAATCAGACTTTTCTTTTTTGAGCATTTTTGTCTCAGATTGTGGAGGATGTTATGGTGAAACATGAGCTGGTTGTAAAAGGATCATGAATCTATGCACAAGTGTTAGGTGGGCTGGATGGTAAAGGGTGGGGGTTTGAATGCAGGGGTTCCTGATTTGTTTCTATGTGTTTTAGTTCTTTAAGGGGACAAAGAGATGGACAGGGAGAAGCCCACCACCACCAGCTTCCCCCCTGATCCCTCTTCAGATTGACCTAGCGCTACATCGCCATGCTGTGTATTCCTAAAACCAATGAGCATCTCACTTTTTAGCACTGTGGGATTCTAGCCTGTCACCCTCACGGGTTTGTTTTTTCTTTCCTTTAGTGTTTTGGAGGGTGGGAGGTGGGATTAGGGCTGCTTTTTTGCCTTTTTTAATGTTACTGAGAGTTAATGAGAAGTCAGTGGCTTGTAATGTTTTATTTTTGTTTTTCTGTATATCTCTTTCTCCTCATAGAATGTGATTGTTAAATGACATGCACCGAAACAAATGTTTTCATGAACTATGGAGCTTCTTTCAAATATTAATAAAATAGCATTTTTTTTCTTGTCTGTTAAGCTGTCTTTGTTTTTATTGAGGGCGTTGATGTCATTTCCTGTCTGCATGATGCCGGGAGCAGCGGAAGTGTGTTCATGCTCTGAGGGCCAGCTGCCGAGGGGAGGCATAGTAGTTGTCCTGCGGCTGCCGGATGTTTGGGTTGGCGTAAATCGGGAAGTTGCCTTCTGAGCGTGGGGGGGCCTTGTGCTCCACGTTAGGGCTTCCTGCATCCTTCTGCTTCCTGCTCATTTCTTCATAGATGGGGGAGTTAGGCTGCAGTGGGCGACGGTGCTGTACTCTGACCTACAAAACAAAATATCTGTCAAACTGCTGACCAGATTTTCAGAGAGGAAGGCTTGTTTCCATCACAAATGTAGCAAAATTGGGGAAATATTACCAGATAAGATAAAACATTTTTTATTTTCCTGGATAAGGTGTCAGAGGAGGAATATGTGAAAAAATGTAAAATTTTGCCAAATCGACACAGAAATTATTCCCAAATCACTTAATAAACCTCTTAAATATTGTATTAAAGTTCTATTGTGTGGGGAAAAAAAGACTTGTTTTTGCCCTTTTCTTGGAGTAAATATATACAGGTGTTACTATATTTGATAATATTAAAATTAAAATCTTTTTTGTTGAACATTTAAGAAATGTGTTTTAATATCTCTCAGTTACACTCAGGTAACAGAACAACTGATTATTTTGTTGCATTCTTCTCTTAAGGTTCATTTAACCACTTTTTAGACATTGAAAACGAGGGGTATGGTGTTAAAACAAAGGCCCAGGGGGCCACAAAAAAAAATATTAAAACTATTCTTTTCATGGATAAGGGAGCCCAACCAGCTAAAACAAGAGTTAAGGAAAAATTTGGATGATAAAAGATTGTTTTTAGGGTATTTTATGGCTGATTTAATACACAGGTTCATCATCTGAGCCCAGCGCGTTGAAACATGGTATCAGAGGAGTGCCGTCCTGCTAGGAAAAACAAGGAAGTTATAATTGTATTTTAATTGAAATAATACCTCAATTTATTATTATTACCCCTCTGCATAAATAGTTTCATCTAAAGGTTAAACTTATTTATATTAGTGCCTTATTTATGTATTACATCTGCTTAGTTTAACAGTTCAATCCAATTTGGATTATAGAATATATTAGGATTATGGTAGTTTTTCTATAATTTGGCATTAAATCTGCTTTTCAGGTTTTTGGATTGCATTAGTAGAGTCTGGTGGGCAATGACTTGGCTGAAGTTGTCTTCTGATTTTTACAGGGATGTGCAACCAAAGTGTTATTTTTAAAACAGCTTCCGTTTTATTTAAATGGGTTTATGTCCTCATGCTAAATGTGGAGTGGGGACGTGAATCCTTATCTGTTAATTAGTTTCATCTAAGAAGCTGAACACAAAAATCTGATAATATACCTGAATTTAAAATATTGTTGTGTCTATTCAACTTTAAACTCTTTCTGTCAAATATATATTTGGTGTTTGCTTAAAATTAATTGTAAAGAAGAAATAAAATGTTAGAAACTTACACATTTTTCCATGACCAGCAAGCAGGTTGTTAGGAGGAGAAGCCCTGCTGCAGCAGAGATGGTCAGGAGCAGAGGGATGTAACCATGAGAGCACTGGCAGGAGCCCCCTGCACCGGAAACATTGTTTCTACAATAAATCTTTCATTTTAAGCAACAGAGTGCGGTATGATTTACACTGTGATGTCATCAAACTACACACCTTCCCTTTCAACCAGAAGGAAGCACTTCTGGCCCCAAAGGATGACCTGCTCTGAGCCGTTCTTCTGTACGTATCTCAGCTCCCACATGTAGAGTCCAGAGTCCCTCAGCTGCAGGGGAGAGATGCTGATGTTGATCCTCAGTGAGTTCAGCCCCCCACTGAGCTGCAGACGGGCCCCTCGCTCTGGGTCCACCCGGACCGGGGTGCCCTCAGCTGCTGACAGCAGGGTGGTCTGACCCTGCGGGCCACGGTGGTACAGATACAGTCCTACCAGGCGGCCATGTTCCGGCTGTATAGTGGAGGAGAGCACCAGACACTGATCCTCTGCAAGGCGCTTAAAAACCACCTCTGCAAAGACTAGGAGGAAGAGTAGTTAGTGTGAGCTGCTGGTAAAACACAGATTAGATTAGTTGGATCAGTGGTCCTGGTAGAAACCCATGTTTGTTCGAGACAACATGAAATTGAGCTTGTTAAGGTAATGCTAAAGTTTGAGACACATTTCAAAATGATTGCTGAACACTTGAAGTTAAGTTTAGTTTTGAAAATTGCAATCATGACTTTAGGGAAATCTATTTTGTTAAGAACAGATTTTAAAAGTTTACGAGACAGAGCAGCATATAACTACTAAGTTCAAGTTTTAGGATTTGTTTCAACAAATAATTACCAAATGAAACTTAGATTTCCAAGTCACTTTACTCTGACACCCCTTACCATGGTTAGCATTATTTTGGCTCACATGGGTTTTAAGGGGAGTTAGTATAGAAAATCAAGCTCTTAGATGATGAATCTCACTCTTGCACTTACTGTCAGTCAGTTTAGGATTTCATCTCTCAACCTTAGCCTCATAATCTAATCTTTTTTATGTCTTTACTTTTGTTTTTAGAACTAGGAGATACCTATATTTAAAGTTTATTTTACATAATAGAACTTTTAATTTAACTGTTGTTGTGTTTTTTTCTTTTTTACAATATTCTAATTTATATCTCCATCTCCTTTGGTCAGAACTTCATATTTCTTGTGCAGCCACTCTCAAACTACCAGCCTCCTTGTGCAATTTCCTCCTTTAAATAGGATGGATCAAACTTGTTTTGAATGATATTTATTGTACAATCCTTGTAGATCTTCCACAACATGGTCATTTGTCGACTATTTACTTATGATAGGCTATTTTTATGTTTCTTCTCCCACACAATTTTACTATCCTCATTTGGAATCCATGAAGTTCAGGCCCTATATGATACTGGAAAAAGAAAATGCAAAAGAGAGTGATTTGAGGTGGAGAATCTCCTTCCAGTTGGGTGATGAATCTAAACTTACATTCAGACATACCATGGAGTGGTTTAGATCAAAGCCTGACCATGAGTTAAAATAGCCTAGTCAAAGTCCAAAAATAAATACAATTGAGAAGCTATTGTAAGACATTAAAAGCTACAGATGTTCTGAGCAACGTCATAGAAGCACTCTATTTCTGTAATGCCTACATAAAAAGAACTGATCATCGGATGTACACTGGAAAATTTGAAATCTAGATAAGTCATTTTTTCTTAAAATAAGTGCATTTTGTTCTTGGATAGAGGAGGTAAAATAAACATTGCCAATGGAACAAAATAATTTACATTTCAAATAAGAAAACACAATTGCATTGTCTTATTTCAAGTGAATGTTATCTAATTATCTTATTTTAAGAGTAAAAATACTCATTCCATTGGCAAACTATCTCATTTAACTACTCAAATTCAGGGTAAATACATTTAATCTAAGACATTTTTACTTATTAGATAATTTTTCCAGTGTAGGTCCTTTTTCCATAGTTTTTGTTCAAGTATCAATAAAAACAGATGCATCTACCTGAATATAATCTCACTTTTATACGAGGTCAGGCAAATTCTTCTGTCAGTAATTAAAACCTTCTTGACTGCATAAAAAACTCCAACCAAATGGGAATGATTGGCCCTAACTAACATTTGTTCAGATAAAAAACAAGCAAAGACAACATTTTGAATGTTTCTGAGTGAAGTGAAAAAGCCCTTACCTTCACAAACCTGAATAAATAGGAGAATAAACCGTAGATGGGTCTTCATGTTGTTCACAGTCAGAGAGCCTGACAGAATTTCCAGAGTTAGATTATAATATAGTCTTCCGCTCCGCTCTGCACGGTCCTGTGAGGCGTTTGAGGCTACCTTGAGTTCCTATTGTTCGTCACCCTGAGGAACAGGAAGGCAGCCTCAAAGCAAGAGCAGCGGTTAGAACACAGTGGTTGTTCTGCGCACACCGAGGCTGCAGATGTAAGGTCTGAAATGATACAGAGAGACAGGGTGGAAAACCACACAGTAAAAAAAAAAAAACGGTCTACTACAAGAACTTAATGTCAGTATTCTGACACTGATTTCAGCAATTGTGGCGAGATCATGAGCAGTTGAAATATTTGATTAATTTCACAACTGCTCATCTTGACAGCATCACTGGCCTTTTTTTATCTTCTAACCTTGAAGTAACGCTTATCACATCAGGCTTTTCAAAACACACAAACTAAACAATTTGAAATGAAATTACATGGAAAAAAGGAAAACAAATCTGATACTAAAAAAGCTTTTTTTTTCTTTTTTACACATATGTATCTATCTATCTATAATATATCTATAAACAATACATATTTAACTTAGGGCTGAAACAATCATGATTAATTGATTATTAAAATAATCGTCAACTAATTTAGTAATCAATTAATAGTTATAATAATAGACTTTAAAACATAATCTCGATTTAAAACATGCATTAAGCTGACAGAGCGACCCACTTAGAGCTGTAAATATATTAAAATTGTAAAATATATATATATATATTAACATTTTGCAATGAAGAAAAAAATATGTTTTTCTCTGTCAATATGCTCTATCCAGAACTCTAGTAGAAACATTTTAGTTTAATCTGGTTTAATTTAGTAAAACATCTTCTTTAAGGAACCTTTGGCTATCCGATTATTAATTGATTAATCGAAAAAAAAAAAACATAATCTACAGATAAATCGATCAGAAAAATAATCGTTAGTTCCAGCCCTAATTTAATCGCTGATTTGCCAATATCTTCCTTACATATGCTTCTGAGATTCACACCTTTTCAATAAAACATTCTGATGACTTCTGTTTACCATTAAGCAAAACAACACTGAAACAAAGTAAACTTAAATATAGAAGACCTTTTATTTGAAATAGACTACCACCAGCTCTTCAATCCATGATTACACATTTTTCTTTTAAAAAACAGTTATAAGTTATGCTTTTCATAAATTGTACCAAACATGCATATTTATTACATTTGACATACCAAATTTGGTCTTTTTGTAATGCATTAAATTGTTGCTTCTTAGGAGAAGTGCTTTATAAGACCTTGTGGTCTTTTTAACCTTTCCTGCACTCTTTTTGACTATATATTATTGTTGTTAATTAAATTTTATTTTTTTTATGTGCAAATATATCTAAATCTAAAAATAAATCTTAATGAATAATTTTTTAAAGCATGCTTCCCAATGACTCAGTTTGCCAAACAGACATCATAAGAAAACTTTATATCCACTTTGCCCTCTAACTCTGTTGATAAGCTGGTAGATATTTTTCATTTTAAAATCTCAGACATCAATTATTCAGTTGCTCCAATTAAATCGAAGGTTGTTTCTGGAAAGGAAAAGTCTCGGTGGAGAAATGTTTCACCAATCAAAAGTGAAGGTGCATCTCTGGTAAAAAATAATGTCTGCTTTCACTTGATCCTGCTAACAAACCAATAAAATCCATTTGTTCTTTTTCTCAGTAAAATACCTCTGGACTCTTAGAGCCCAATGCCAAAACTGTCAATAGTCACTGCTGCCACCCTCTGGTTTAAAGGGGAACTGCTTGTTCCCCCAAATATCCCTATCTCACCATATTAGAGAATCTTTTAAAACCTTCCTGTATCCAGAATATTACCTGGATCATTACAGAAATGTAATGGATTGGAAACCTCTTATGAAAACTTCATTAAAGTTATATATAACATTTCAAGTCATCCTGTACACAGACGGACAGACTCTCCTAAAAACATAACCTCCTAGGCAGAGTTAACAGCTAAAAGAAATCCTCCACCAACTGACCTCTTCTTCCTACTACCTCCAGTGTTTCACCCACAGCCTTCATTAAGAAAGCTATCCCTGTCACAACATCTGATTCAACACAAATAAAACTCTTCATATTTGATGTTTTCCCCAGGCCAAAAACAGTAATTCTACTCTTTCAATTGCTGATATAAAATGAGAAACTTGGACAAACTAATGCAGAACTCTCCACTGTCGCTACCAGCTTGCTTAGTGTGAGGGATTGCATTCGAGTCAATGAGTCGATGCAATTAACTGGCTTTCCTTAGATAGAAAACTTTCAATCAATTTGACTGTATGAACTGGTTAAATTGTAAAGTGCCTTGAGATGGCATGTGTTGTGAATTGGCGCTATATAAATAAACTCAATTAAACCTCCCCTTTAGATTACTGAAAAAAAGGTTTAACAGCTAAAAACCTTCCAGACAAGGACCAATTTCTTCAATGTCATGCAGTCAGGCTGCTGTACTGACTGTCCTTATCCAGATGTTCAATGATATCCATTTAAATCCTACTTGAGGGTCAGGCACTTTCTGTGTTGGTCGGTATCTACATGGTCCACCTTACTCACATCTTAATTAACAGCAATATGGGTTAACAAAACTCTGCGGACAAAACACAACTATAAGTTTTTCATTAAGTTGCCACTAGATCGATTCAAGCGCTAGAAGAAAAATGAAGGAATACATTTATGGCAAAAGATGAGTGTTGAAAAGTTAGCACACAGCTTCAGTTAATACAGCTAGAAACTAATCAGGACGTAGTGCTGGACCTGAACCTTCAGTTGCTCATAAATACAATAAGAAAAGTCAGGCTTACATCTCCAGGATTAAAGGACTAATGTCTCAATAGGACATTGCAAAAACGTATTAATGGATTGATCTTTAGCAGAATTGATTACTGCAGCGGAGTCCTGTCAGGTCTGACTAAAAAGTCAGTTAGAAAGCTGCAGCTGATCCAAAACGCTGACCCTATCAAAGCTAAGAAAGTGGGGAACATCACCACAGTGCTGAATTCATCAGCTGGCTCCTGTATCTCAGAGAATAGAGAAAATTCTTCTGTTAATCTCTAAACCACTAACTGCTTTAGCACCAAAACACATTATAGACCTTTTGTCCATGTATCAACAATCCAGACCTCTCAGGTCATCTGCCTCAGAGCTACACCAAGCACTGAACATGGCTATAAATCGAGATTAATACATATTGTAATCTCATATTTGTTTAGAGCAGCCTTAGACTGTGCTGTCAAAACATTATCTTAATCGTTATTAGTTAACTTTTCAATCCAACTTTCCTTGCATTTTCTATCGATAATTTTATACTTTTTAATATAATCTCAGTTTAATTATCTTTACTTATTTGTGTTGGCTTTATGTTACTGCATTGCACTTTTTCCCCTCTAATGTACAGTAGAATTGTCATGCTTGTGAAATGTGCTTGCCTTGCCTTATTCATTGTTAAAGCAAGCATATTTTCATAAACAACAATCCTAAAAAACAACTACATATAAGTAGTTTTTCCCAATTTTGAGATAAAAAAAATGGATCTTGTGGATCAGATTTTCATAACACAGATGTTATATTACCACATAGATGTTGTTTAAATTCTCTCTCTATAAACCAAAAAATCTTCTTTCCCTTCAGCTTTCTTTAACTGAAATAACATATCCTTAAAACCTGGATCTCCAGTACTCCTACATACCCTTGAACAATATTCTCATTATATATTTTGTTGGATATTTCCCCTTCATTTAGGATTCTATTCAGTTTTCTGTGGCCATTTTTACTAATATTATCTGCTCCTTACTTCAATTATATGCTAAATATGTTTGATTGGAACATCTTAACTTTATATCAAACTTCCCTTTTTTAATACTTTTTTTTTTACACGGGATTGAATCCACATGATTACTAAGGTTCTATTTTTGCACAAAGTATTTAAAGCAGCATGTTTATAGTTTCTGTTTTTAAATGTGATTGGACCAGAGGAAGCTTGTTAAGTTTGGGCCCAGAGGAATAGCTCCTAATTAGGACTGATTTAGTGCAGGTGTGATCTGCTGGGATTTAAATATCAGCATTCAGCTGCTTGGTTCACTGTCTTGTGGGTCGGTTAGAAGCACTTGCAGTCTTGTCTTGTCTTGTCCTGTCTGGTTTGTTGGAGTCCTCATGGAAACCCTTTGGTTTAATCTCCTTTTAGGGATAATGTTTTCTGGGCTCTGCCCTCAATCAGCTCTTGCTTTTAGACCCCAGAAGTACCCACAGTATCCCTCTCTTCCAAGACCTCTTCCAAGACCTCGGCCTCAGCAAAGTGCATCTCACCCTGTGGATCAGCACGAGCCAGAGCTAGTCAACACGGTCAGTGTGATGTGCCACCCTGACTCAATGGAGGTGGTGATCACTGCTGACATGTTTGCGGTCGGGGCTCCGGTTGACAGTCGGGAGTTGCGTCTTGGAGTGGAGGATAATGAGCTATGTAGAGCTAAAGCTACTTCTGCTGAAGAGTACAGGGTTGTTGCTGGGCTGGATGACTGTGGCACCAAACACTGGGTAAATTGACAATGTTGCTGACTTACCGGTACTTTTTTTTTAATGTACATTTTTATAACTATTCTTGTTTTCTAGATGACCAAAGATGCCCTGATTTACACAAACCTTCTCATGTACTCTCCACTGCCCAACCCTAGTGGGATAATTCACATGGAAGAAGCGGTAATCCCTGTTGAATGCCATTATGAAAGGTTTGCCTATATATTTTTTTTTTTTTTCTTGCAAATGTACACCATCTTTAAGTGATTTAAAACCGCATCTCTCTTTAGGAAGTATGGTGTATCAAGCTCTTCTCTAATGCCAACTTGGATTCCTTTCACATCGACCCAAGCTGGAGTTGAAACTCTGCAGTTCAGCTTGAAGCTGATGACTGGTAAGTTCACTTCTCCCCTCTGATTTCTAGCTCAACATTCAACTTATCCCTCATCTCTCCTCCAGATGACTGGATGCATGAAAGGGGTGCCAATGTGTTTTACCTTGGTGAACCCATCCACCTTGAAGCCTCTGTGAGGGTTGGACACCACATGGGTCTCAGGGTGTTTCTAAGCAGCTGTGTGGCCACACTTCAACCAGATGCAAACTCTGATCCAAA